TTCAACCCCAAGCCCAACGTCCCTGAACCCGAAACCCATGATATTGCAGACGGAAGACTTTTGAACGACTTGTGAGAACTGCTTGATGCCGAGGCAAACAAGTCAGCTGCCAACGCGAGCAACGCAACTGCCGCGACAGCTCCGAAGGACTCGTCGCCAAAATGAAGTTCAGGGTTTACGGTTTAGGTTTTAGTTGATCCTGGTCTTCCTAAGTTTTCCCTCTATGCTCACATTCGATAGGGTCCGCACTCCCGGGCCGTTCTTCAAACACCAAGACAATAAGTCACAATTCGGACCCCTCTAAATAAGACATACTTCTGAACACCCTAAACCCTAAACGACAAGCAAACCATAATTCTGAACCCGGCTCGCTGTGCAAGGATGCGAAGGCTGCTCAGGTCCAGGCGAACGCATCGGCGAACCCGAAATCTCTCGTAGTCGTGGCTTGAAGGCAATTCGAGCATTCCTAACTAGGGCAGAAAAGTTGAAGACAGCCCAGAGAATAACTTCCTTGTTAAAAGCTGTCGTAGTAGACCATATATCCTCGTAATTAAACCCTTAACCCCAAGCCCCCATCTTACCATCTTAGAAGCCCTGTTTCATGGAAAGCTCAGACCCAAAGGGGCGGACGGAGTGGGGCCAAGGTTCGAGGTTTCGCTGCAGATCGAGGGTTTAGTGGCTTTTAGGGCTTTAGGGGCTTCGGGTTTAGGGGCTTCGGGGGTTTACCCTGTAGGGGTTTAGCAGTGGGAGTTAAAGCTTAAGGTTTAGGGTCAATTTAGGGCTTCAGGGGTTGAGGGTTACGGTTTAGCGTTGTCCTCCGTTGGGCGTCGAAGTAGCCGTCGTGTAACTTGGTAACACATTTTTAAGATGTTCAGCAAGGAAATATACTCTCGCCATGTGGCATCCGGTTCCCGTCCTAGGCATGTGTTTGGGTTTCAGGCGTTCAGGCGTTCTTGGACAATATTGTACTTGCGTGTGTGCGGTGATGGGATTTCTGAGGGCTTCTAAGATCGATACCCGAGAAACCTTCAAAGCCCTCGTCTATGTATTCAGGCCACTGGTTTACTGAAGCCCTAATCCCAAAGCCTTCAACCCCAAGCCCAACGTCCCTGAAACCTAAACCCATGATATTGCAGACGGAAGACTTCTGAACGACGTGTGAGAACTGCTTGATGCCGAGGCAAACAAGTCAGCTGCCAACGCGAGCAACGCAACTGCCGCCACAGTGAGCACAGCCGAGAGTGGGAACACCACCGCGATCCCTGCAACAGCTCCGAAGGACTCGTCGCCAAAATGAAGTTCAGGGTTTACGGTTTGGGTCTCAGTTGGTCCTGGTCTTCCGAAATTATTCCCGCTATGCTCGCATTCGATCGGGTTCGTACTCGAGGGCCATTACAAATTCAAACACCACGAACAGTAAGCCACAATTCTGAAGCCCCCTCAACCTTAAAGCCTTAAGCCCAAAGCAAGCCATAATTCTGAACACCCTAAACCCTAAACGACAAGCAAACCATAATGCAAGGATGCGAAGGCTGCTCCGGTCCAGACGAACGTAACGGAGAACCCGAAATCTCTCGTAGTCGTGGCTTGAAGGCAATTCGAGCATTGCTAGCTGCGGCAGAAAAGTTGAAGAGAGCCCAGAGAAAGGCTTCCTTGTTATCTTACCATCTTAGAAGCCCTGTTTCATAAAGGGGCGGACGGAGTGGGGCCAAGGTTCGAGGTTCTCGCTGCAGATCGAGGGTTTAGGGGTTTCAGGGCTTTAGGGGCTTCTGGTTTGGGGGCTTCGGGGGTTTGCGCTCTAGGGGTTTAGCAGTGGGATTTAAAGTGTAAGGTTTAGGTTCAATTTAGGGCTTCAGGGGTTGAGGGTTACGGTTTAGCGTTGTCCTCCGTTGGGTGTCGAAGTAGCCGTCGTGTAACTTGGTATCACCTTTTTAAGATGCTCAGCAAGGAAATATACCCTCGCCATGTGGCATCCGGTTCCCGTCCTAGGCGCGTGTTTGGGTCTCAGGCGTTCAGGCGTTCTTGGACAGTATTGTACTTGCGTGTATGTGCAGCGATAGGATTTCTAAGTGCTTCTTAAGATCGATACCGGAGAAACCTTCCAAAGCCCTCGTCTATGTATTCAAGCCACTGGTTTACTAAAGCCCTAATCTCAAAGCCTTCAACCCCAAGCCGAACGTCCCTGAAACCTAAACCCATGATATTGCAGATGGAAGACTTCTGAACGACGTGTGAGAACTGCTTGATGCCGAGGCAAACAAGTCAGCTGCCAACGCGAGCAACGCAACTGCCGCCACAGTGAGCACAGCCGAGGGTGTTTACACCGCCGCAATCCCTGCAACAACTCCGAAGGTTTCGTCGCCAAAATGAAGTTCAGGGTCTACGCTTTAGGTCTTACTTGGTCCTGGTCTTCCTAAATTAGTCCCACCTAAACCTTAAAGCCTTGACCCCTAAGTAAGCAATAATTCTGAACACCCAAGCCCTAAACGACAAATAGACTTTAATTTTAAGCCCGGCTCCCTGTGCAAGGATGCGAAGGCTGCTCCGGTCCAGACGAACGTAACGGAGAACCCGAAATCTCTCGTAGTCGTGGCTTGAAGGCAATTCGAGCACCGCAAACTAGGGCAGAAAAGTTGAAGAGAGCCCAGCGAATAACTTCCTTGCTAAAAGCTGTCGTAGCAGACTATATACCCCCCCTAAACCCCAAGCCCCCATCCTACCATCTTAGAAGCCCTGTTCCATGAAAAGCCCAGACCCCTTCAAAGGAGGTTTCGCTGCAGATCAAGGCTTTAGGGGCTTCAGGGCTTTAGGGGCTTAGGGTGTTTTCGCTGTAGGGGTTTAGTAGTGGGATTTATAGTTTAAGGCTTAGGGTCAATTTAGGGTTTTAGGGCATAAATTTTACGGGTTGAGGATGTACGGTTCAGCGTTGTCCTCCCTTGGGCATCCAAGAAAGCTTCTTGCGCCATGTCTGACTGCCGAAGAGAGTCCACGGAGAACAACCCGGTCAACCATACCTGCACCCCAAACCGCAAGCCAGAGACAGGATAGTCACTCAAGGGAGGTACTCTCGCCATGTAGCATCCGGTTTCCGTCCTAGGCCTAGGCATGTGTTCGGTTCTCAGGCGTCCAGGCGTTCTTGGACATGTGCAGTGATAGGATTTCTGAGGGCCTCTTAAGATCGATACCCGAGAAACCTTCCAAATCCTTCGTCTACATGTTCAGGCCACTTTTATACTAAACCCTAATTCCAAAACCTTCAACCCCTAACGCAATGCCCCTGAACCCTAAACCCAATATATTACAGGCGAAAGACTTTTGAAAGGCTTGTTATAGCTGCTCGATGCTGAGGCAAACAACTCGGCGGCCAACGTGAGCAACGCAACTGCTGCCACAGTGAGCACAGCGGAGAGTGGGAACACCGCCGCACTCCCTCCTGGGAAGTGGGCCGTGGATGTTCCGTTCCCTCTCTACGATGTGCGCTTCCTTAAGCTTAAGTCCTAACCCCTGCGCCTGAATGGAAGCGTCAGCTTGCATAGTGAGTACCGTCAGTAGCTGCCACTGAAGAGTCGAGTTCAGGGTTGTTGGATAGATGCAGGGCTTGGTGCTCCATGTCTACCATGAAGAGTACTGGAATCCTTTCAGGTGCTGGTCCTGGTACGATGTTGCTGATGATGATGGTGATGATGATGATGATGATGATGATGGTGATGTTGTTGATGGCGATGATGCTGCTACTGATGATGATGACGATTACTGTTCCGGCAAAGTCCTATTGTAGATATGATCCCTTTCTGCAGCAGTAGTCCTTTTGTGAATGGTTCCTGCCGTGGGCCGGTATGTGACGGCCAATAGCACCAGGTCTGCTTCATGTCAGGCCAGCAGTGAGAGTCAAATCATGCCCCAGTTCAGGCGCAAGGGCGTTCGTTCCGCTTCTGCCTAAGCGACAATGACTCGCCGCGACAGAAATAGAGCAGGGTCCCTGCGCTAAACAACTTTACACTCTACACCCTAGGCCTTAAACCTTGAATACTTTGCCCTGAATCACCCCCTGCACCGAAATCCCAACAACGTTGATGCTGAAAGAAGCCAGGGCTTTGCAACGATGGCCTACAGCCTATAGCTTCTGCGTTCCGGATTTTGAACAAAGTGTTGATGGAGCTGAGGGCTTATAGGGTTGAAACCCCCAAACCCTAAGGCCCTAAACCCTTAACCCCTAGAAACCCTAAGCCCAATCCCCAAAAAACCGAGTTCATGGACTGTGACAATCTCTCAGCTGGAAGCCCTGAACCCTAAACCCTAAACCCTAAGCAAGTCCGGATTCGCTGCTGTCTTCGGAGGGAACCTGTGAGTGGCAAGCCCGAAGCCCTGGACCCTGCAGCCTGGATTTTGAGAAACTATATTAGAATAGATTATACACTGTTTTTTTTATAAAAGCATATATATATATATAATATCTATATATATATAAATACAGATATAGGAACATACACATATATATATATATACATACATACTATAGACTCTTATGCTACAGAAATACAGTCTGGTTTGGCTTCTGATTTTCGTGGCTTCGACACTGCAAGATTCCCTCAGGGACCCTCAACCAATGTCACCTTGGCCTTCAAGCCGGAAGGAAACCCTAAACCCTGAACCCTGAACCCTGAACCCTAAACCCTAAACCCGGAAGCCTAAACCCTGAACGCTTTAGGTGGGTGGTTGTCAAAATTATGGTCCCTTTTTGGGTCCTTATTATTTAGGGTTTAGGGTTTAGGGTTTAGGTCCTTATTATAATAATACGGCACCTATTATTTTAAAAGGGACCATAATTTTGACAACTGCCCAGGTATAGGTTTGGGGTTGAGATTTCGGGCAGGCCCGCCGATCCGTGAACTACTTGAACCCTGTAAACTCTAACAAGTGCCTCCGCCCGGATCGGAATTTTAAAAAAGCCAAGGGCATGTAGGCTGGAAGCCAAAACCCTAAATGCCGAAGCCACGCAGGGTGGAGGACTCCCGGGGAATCCATGTGAGCTTCCGGAAGTCGGGCTCCTTCTACTTCCTCGAGGAGCAGGCCGGAACGGATGTGTTTGACGGATTTTGTTGGGTGTTTCGTTGGGGTCTTGTCTTCTCTTGTTGTTGCAGGCCAAGAAGCTATCGGTTTCGGGTTTCAGGCGGCGGGCTCGGTCCATGGTTCTGGATGTAAGAGACCAAGAGTAGACGAGAACTCCTCACAAATTCGGGCTCCGTTTCCTCAGGGGTGTTTAGAGGGAAGGATCCTCCAGGAGTCCTTCAATACCTCAAGCTTCCAGATTGAAGTCGGAGTCCATGGCATCATGCCACGAATCATTGCCCACTAAAACCCTAAGCCCTGGACTGCAAGACCTACACTCTGTAGCACTTACAGCCTTAAACGCCCACCTTAAACTCCTAAGCTCTAAACTTCAAGCCCGAAATTCTCTAGCATTGAAAGCCCGGCCTATAGTCTCCGTGGTAGTTCTTTCTTTTGATCTAACCAAGTTTCATCATTAGGGTCGGTTTAGGGTTTGGGTTTAGGGGTTAGGGTTTTCATAAGTTAACCCGGAAAAAAGGGAGACTACTATAGGGGCCTGGATAATTCGTCTTGTAAGTAGAGTATCATGGGCCCCAAAATCCGATTCTGAATATTAAGGCCCCTACATTACAGGTAACACCCTAAACCCTCAACCCTAAACCCCCAAACCCTAAACCCCTAAACCCTAAACCCTAAACCCTACACAACCCTTCTTTCATTTCCTCGCGAGCAGGCCTTGCTTCGAAGTCTCTCAGCGCTTCTGCTCTGGATACAGTGGGCCTGGCGGACTTTTTGTGTTTTGGAGTCTTAGGGCTTCGGGGTGTTGGGGGTACATAAGGGTCAAGACAGGATATCAGGGTTTCGCAGGGGCTTCGGGGTGTTGGGGGTACATAAGGGCAAAGACAGGGTTTAGGGTTTCGTGGAGTTTGGCGATTTCTGGCTTGTCTCAAGTTTGGTGGTTTCTTCGGGGGCCTGGAGGGCGTTGGGATTAAAGCTGGTCGAGGGTCTATAGGCTTACATAGGGTTTGAATTAGGATTCGGCCGCAAACGGCCCCTTGTGACAAGCCGAAAAGCTCGCTTCTTCGTGCACTGGCGGCCGGGTCTTTCGCGCAGAGACCTCCCGAAGACCCGTACCATGTGACACCGATTCGTGAAGGCGGGTTCGCTTGAGTAAGTTCACAGGCCTATGCTGAAGAAGGAGCTGGGTTGAGTAGATCCGCTCCAACGTGGGACTAGATGACCACATGACCGAGGTCGTCTGTAGTTGGAGACAGATGCTATACTTTGAACACCCTAAACCCTAAACCCCAAAACCCCAAACCCCAAGCATTATATCTGAGACTCTACACCCCTCAGCCGCAGAGCCCAGATTATGACATCCTATAATAAGCCCTTCACCCCAACAGGCTCCTGCAAACCCAGACATCCAGTTTCAGCGCGCTTCGCTGCAGGTTTCCAGTCCTCATAACCTACTGGCCTTGACCTCGGCTTGAAAGCGGGTTGAGGGTTTAGGGTCCTCAGACCCTACTGGCTTTGACCGCGGCTTGGAAGAGGGGTTTAGGGTTTAGGGCGTAGGGTCCTCATAACCCACTGGCCTTGACTCGACCTCGGCTTGAAAGAGGGGTTGTCGGTAGCGGGGTGGTCTGTGGCGATGGCTTCGTGGCTTAAACCCTGAGCCTAAGCCCCTGTGAGCAAATCAAGCCCAATATCCCCTACGCAGACCGGTACTTATGTTTAGTTTGAGTTCGTCCGCACTGTTGTATCTTTTGGACGCGGGAAAAACTTTAAGCGCAACAAATCTCCAGAAGATAAGGCCTGTTTAAAGTGGAGGTGCGGGTAAAGCAGAAGTTCAAGAGGTATTTCATGCGCCCTCGGCATGTGACTCGAGAATCATTGACATCAGAAGAGCTACAGTAGTGGCAGCCCAACATCCTAAACCCCCAAACCACCGACCCTAAAACCCTAAACCATCAACCCTAAACCCAAAGCATCAGGTTCTGCATTCTTTTCCTGGGCACTCTCTCCAGCATTTACATGGCTGTGGTTCATCAGGCTTGTCGGGATCCGGCGCTGTCTTTTGCTTTCGGCGGTGCCATCGGGTTTGGCTGTTTAGGGTTTATTGGCGTTTTCAGAATTTCTTTTGGGTCCAAGGGCTGACTCGTGATAGAGCTACCCCTTTGTTGGCTCCCCTCATAGACGAAGCACGGTGTACTCGTCCAGGAGTGGAGGCTTCGATGTAGGTTGTGATCCGAACCATAAGCCCGGGACGAAGCCAAGCCGCGTGCATACAAGAGCCGTCGAAGAAGATATTCCTCGTAAGTTGATCTTGAGTTTCAGCGTTTTAGGAATTCAGGGCTTCAGGCTGTCTTACGATGTTACTACTACTGTGTTTTGAATAGTCACAGGTGTTCATGTGTGATGTACCACTGCAAGTATCGCTACCCTTTGTGGGTGGTTGTTAGGGAGTTTCGACATGTGCTTCAGGGTCGTGTTTGCCCTTCGGGCTTAGCACCGTTGAGAGTTTAGGGAGTACGACTTAATATAGGGGCCTTAATAATTAGAGTAGTGTTTTGGGCTTCCTTACAATACATATAGTATAACATACCCCCAAACCCCATTCTAAGTATTAAGGCCCCTATATAAGGGCCTGTGTGGAGGTGTCTCAGGGTCCGATTGAGTGTTGCTGCTGGAAGGCTTTGGGGTTCAGATTTGGGCCTAGGGAGGGTACTGAAATGTGCTGGCTGGGTCATTAAGAGTTTATAAAGAAGTAGAACAGGCTGGCTCTAGAAGAGCCGGGGGAGGGGGAATAGAGTTTAGAGATTGGCATGTAATGTAGGGGCCTAAAGAAGTACCAATACTATTTTGGGGGTTCCTTACTGTAATTATAGCATAGCGGACCCCGACGCACCTACATTAGATTCGCAAGCCGGAGGATTTGTCGAACCGCAACCACTAAGCTTTACGTTCCACCTCCACCCCAGACCAAAACACGCTTACGGAACCTGTTCACGCCCTTGCAGAAGCCGACAAAAACCGCAACAAACTCTGCAAGCCCTGAACCCAAAACCTACACCCTCACCCTAAAGCCTGTAGACCCTGAAACCCCACATGAACCCGTATAGAGCCTTTACGGAACCCTTCAAGGAATTCTCGAAGGAGTTCCTAATTTTAACCGCAAGCCCTAAACCCTAAACCCTAAACCCTAAACCCTAAACCCTAAACCCTAACCCACCCTTTCTTCCGCAGGAAGTGAACGTCGCGGAGGCTCTGAAGGGCTTCTCCGCCCGGCTCCTGACCTACAGCAGCGCGCCCGGGATCCCAGGAAGGGACTTCAGGGTTTTTTGTTATAGCTTTTCTATGGGCTTTAGGGTTGAGGGTTTAGGGTTTTAGCTTTTCTATGGGCTTTAGGGTTCAGGGTTTAGGGTTTTAACTTTTCTATGGGCTTTAGGGTTCAGGGTTTAGGGCTTAGGTGTTTATGGAGTTTATTTTGTCTTTATAAGGTCTTTTATTTAGGTTTTGTGGTGGGCTTTAGGGGCTTACAGGATTTGGAGCGTAGGGCTTTTGTGGATGGTCGACTGGGAGGGGCTTGGCGACAGGAACCTGAAAGGCCCGCAAGCAGGTTCTTTAAGGCTCAAAATAGCCCAAACGCCTTGTATAGTATGGTCTTTGGGCCCAAAAGCCTTGTAATATAAGTCCTTAGAGCCTTAGGGGTTCATGAGCTGCAAACCTGGGTTTGGGGTTTGGGGTTTCATTAGGGTTTAGGGCTTATGGCTTCAAGGGCTTAGGGCTTAGAGTTCAGGGTATGCATCGTATATCAAGCCCCAAAAGCTTCCAAGACCTGAACCTTCAGCCGCTTCGGAGCATAAACCCTGCTTATATGCCCCAACCACAGGCCGCACAACCACATCCCTTCAGAAGTACGGGCCCGATGGCCCTGAACAATCCTTAAATCGTGCCATACCAGCGCAACACCCCTACCTGTAGTCTCCATTGTAGTTCCTTTTTGGGGGATACCTTCTAAAACCCTTAATATATAATTGGTTAAACCAAAAAAAGGAACTACAATGGAGACTATAGGTAAACCCTAAACCCCGAAGCCCCAAAACCTAAACCCCAAACCCTACACCCTTACTCCCACCTCCCAAACCCTTCTGATGGCTACTTTAGGCTAGACCCCAAAGTCAAATAGCTTTCAGAGCTCTAACCCGAAGTCGCTTTGGGAACCCTAAGCTTCAGGCGTTGAGAGGGCTCTCTAAATTAGGGTCCTTTTTACCGTGCTTCTTGGGGCTCCTTAAAGGGATCTAGAAGGGTTTTTACAAGGCTTCTGGAAGGGATTCTCTAAATCAGGGTCGCTTTGGGGGTCTGTTGTAGGGCTCCTTAAAGGGATCTATAAGGGTTTTTATAAGGGTTCTATAAGGGTAGTTCTCTAAATTAGGGTCCCTTTAAGGGTCCTTTTTAATATCATAAGGGTGCCGTACTATTTTCGGGACAAAGGGAACCCTAATTTAGAGAGCTACCCAAGAGCTTTGGCCAAGCCGAGATCCGAAACCCCAAGCCAAGTGCTTAGGGTTTCTTGTTTGGGGCTGGAGGAGTCTAAACCCTTAGCTTCCGTACACCTCAGCCACTCAACCCTAGAAGCTTCGATAGCCTAAACCCTAAACCCTAAACCCTCTCTTAGTCAACGGCCCCACCTCTAGTCTGCCATGGAAAGAGGGTCCCCAAATCATGGTAGGATCCTTTAAGCCATACATGGTCGCGCCGGGACTCAGTCCATCCTGCAATACGTACTATAGGGGCCTAGTTTACCTATGTATACTATTTTGGGGGGTTCCTTATTTATAGTGTAAAGGACCCCGAAACCCTATTCAAATTATTAGGGCCTCTACATTATAGATTCAGAGACCCCCAAATTTCTTCATTGAGCAATTTATCTTAGCCCACGAAGGATCCTCGCTCTGATTGAAGCTGCGTTTCTGAGTTGAGGGATTTGGGGAGTCGCCGAGGACCCCCAAGCCCCAAACCCTTCCAAACTAGGGTCCCTTTTTAGATCCCCAAATTAATACGGCACCCTTATAAAAGGGATCCTAAAAGAGACCCCAATTTAGAGATATAGTAACCTTATAGGAACCTTCGGAGGGACCCTTAGAGTTATTTCTGGGAAGGTTTATGGACCTCCGTGGCCGCGTCAAAGAGAACTCCGGCTCGGACGGCATCACGAAGACGCTGGGTTATAACATAATTTGATATAGCTCAATACAATATAATAGAAAATAATGTAATACAACATAACATAATATAGTTTAGCAAGGTATGATACAGTTTAATGTAGTGCAGTCATTGTTTGTCATGATACAATATATTATATCAAAACAACATGTAATGCAGTAGAATGTAATATAGCTAATAGGATATAATACGCTTTTGTAGTACATATTACAGTAGACTGTGCTATGCTGTACTATACTATATCATACTGTACTAGTATATATTATACTTTATTATTCATACACACATACATACATACATACATACATACATACATACATACATACATACATTTTTCCATTTGCGTGCGGGAGAGTCTTGTACAGACGCGCGCCTATGCAAACAAAACTGTGAATTCAAGGTGAAACAGCGGAAGCTCATCCCGGGGAGCGGAAGCCGGACTCCTCACATGCAAACCCGAGGGCTTCGAGCCAGCTCTGCAGAGGTGGCAACGCCTTCCAAAGTCCAAGGCAGTCTACCAAAACTGGCCCTTCTTGGGCCTTAGCTGCGCAGCGGGCAACAACTGTACATGCTGCCTCAGCCCACGTGACAAGCGCATTAGCATCTCGCAGGGAGACACTGGTAGGATCGTGGAGCGACATGCAGACTGCTGGGGGACGTTCGAGAGAAGGCTGGAAGGGGGCGCCGGAGAGGTCAAAATCCAATCGACCAGGCAGACCCCAGTTGGGCACCAAAAAGGGGGGGGTCTTGACGGCCTTGGTGGCATCCGGAAGGAAGTCTGCAGAGACTTCAGGGTCGAGGAGCAGCAGCATATTCTCTGCAACCTCGACATGCCATTCACTGCCACGGTGTTGCTCTCTCCAGTGAATGACAGTAGCCCTTAGAACACTTAACGGTTCTATATAGTCCTCAATGCATTGCCAAACTTCTTGCTCGTCGCATTGTGCTAGTTGCTCGAGCTGACTGAGTAGGCCAGGGGAGATGCCTTGGCAGTCAGCAGCGACGGGAATTGGCCTCCACGTGCCCTGCTCGAGGAAAGGAGGTGCAAGAGGGTGGACTTCCGTTGTTGTCGTAGAGCTGGCCCGTTGAAAGGAGCCCCATCCCTGAACACAGGCCGGCACTACTGTTAAGTGGCGTCTGAGCCTTCCAACTGACCCAAAATTTTTACCACAGCACAGGCACAAGTTGCCACTGCCAGTGAGGTAGGCACTGCTTCTGTATCCGTGCATGCGGGCTGCATGGCCCGCCCATGCCACTTTGCTCCTAAAGGCCCTACGGCATGGCAAGCACAGGTCCGTCAGGGGTTCTTCTTGTAGGCGGCCAAGGCAGGGCCGTCCACCACTGACTGCACAGAGGGCGCGATGCAGCTGATCGAGAGCAGCCACGAGAGATATCCTGCATCCATCGAGGGCACAGGCTCGTTTTACCAACCCCTTGTAGCATCCAGGCTGATGCTTCATGCACTGCCACCATAGACTCCAATGCTGGTCCGGGTGTTGGAGTTCTGTTGTGGCGTGTGTCCACTGACACAGCCAGCGTAGATCAGCTTCAAGCATCTCGGCATACTCACGATCGCTGCGTATTGCGGCCCACAATTGAGGAGGACCTGATTGAACTAGCTGCCTAAGATAAGACAACCTGCAGCGTCGGAGGATAGTATCGGTATCGGGGCTGTCAAGGCGTGCCAGAGCACAGCAAGACAAGGCGGTATAATCCTGCTCGCCGCCCCTCGGGACTCTGTAGAAAGCCCATATTGTGGCATCAAACGCATGGCGGTCTCGGTTCACAAGGGGCGGCCAGGAACCAGCCCCCTGCAAAAGACGGGAGAGCACCGTTGACTGCAGCAGGACCGCCTTGCGTCGGAGGCTGATGGCGCGATTTTTGAAAACTTTCCTTTTCGCCTCTTGGAACGCCGCTTTGGCCTGTGAGATGCGATATCGTACCTCGTGGGCGACCCTGCCAAGCGGAGCTTGCATGGTACCTAAGTGTTTATAGGCAGTCACAAGGAGGACGGCGATGGGAGAAGTATGTTCTCGAAGAATCTTAACATGCCCATCACATGCGAGAGGATTGAAAAGCTGGTGCTTGGCAGCACGGGAATTCGCACCACAAATCGACGCCACAACTGCAGTCTTATATGAGGTCCGAACGAAAGGCGCATCCCAAAGGAGCTAAAAGCGTCGGCCAACGCCCCTGCTTCTGTTGCGATCCCTGCTCTAACACTGTCGGCGGTGTGACACCATCGAGGAATGGCAAGGTCGTCCGCCCACACCACCTCGGAAACCGTAATGGAGGAGCGCGGTTCCTCGCAGGTGCACGCCTTCAAGACAAACTCCCCGTCCCACGGAAGAACAGGGGCGCATGAGTGCTCAATGGCCGAACTGCGGAGGGCATCACGAAGTGCCAAAACTCTCGGGATCAGAAGTGCGAAAACTACGTCTGCAAAAGCCGATCCCGGCCTGGTTCCCCGATATGTCCTCACCGGAACGACGTCGTTCTTGAGGATAAACCAGTTCCCGCCGGAAATGTTATCAGCCAGGGCTTCAAGCCATGCGTTGGATCCAGCAGTATGCATAGCCGAGTCCGCTTGCAAGTGAGCACGGATGTCGGCCACATCCTCTGCAGTGAGGTTCGGCTGTCCAGTAATTTGGCAAAGTCCGGATCCGATATTGTGCCGTTGCATGATGCGATCAACTGGGTGATCGCCCCGTAGAACGCTGACGCGATGTCTGCGAACACAAGGAAGCTGGGCCTGCGCTGGAGAGATGCAATGCGAGTCACGCACCGGGCCAGATGGGCCCCAAAGACCACACTGCAACCAGTGCGCCCTCCCAGTTGCAAGGGCGGCGCCGTCCTTTCGAAAAACCTCTTTAAAGGAGGCCTCAGGCACTGGTGTACCGATTTGGCCATACAGGACAAGAGCAGCACTGCCCTATAAGAAGAGCAGTCGCTATACGCACCTCGTTTCTTATGAAAGAAGACGGAACAGCCTCCTTTCCACCCCACCGCTTCTTGTCCTAGCCACACATGTTTGAGGGCCAGCGGGTGCAAGGCAGCGGCCAGCTCAGGCGCGAACGTCTTACACAGTTCGGGCAGTGGCAGCGCATCAAAGCCCGGGGCTTTCCCGAGCTTCGTCGAGGCTAGAGTCCTTTGCAAGAAGGCCTCGGTTGGGGCGCAATCAGTATCCTCAGGATGTGGCCAATGCTCCTGCTGTGCGCCAGAGGTGGCGAGCGCCTCCTCTACGAGGGCCAGCACAGATGTGGCTCGGCCAGCTTCGAGGGCCCCGAAATGGCTTCGCCATCGCTCGAGAAGCTCGCCTTGATCCGAACATACTGAGCCATCAGCCTTCTTGATTCCTGGGGGTGGCTCCAGCTGGAACGGTTTCTTCCTCTTGTGTCCCAAGAGTCTGTGGTAAGCTGCATACATAGCGCGAGACGACCCATTTTCAAACTGTAGGGCGAGGTCATTGGTATATGCATCTCGGTCGGCACGGCAAGCCTCACGCAGCGCTTGGCCCGCGACCTTTAGATGATACACCCCAACTACAAGAAGAAACCGGACCTGATGCACCCAGCGGTTATCAAGAAAGGCCCCTTCGAAGTTGGTAGCGGAGCTTTGCCACGCTTTAAAGGCTACGGCCAGGCGGTGCACTGCAAGCAGGTGTTGCCTATGATGCACAGCGTTGGAGGGCCCACGTGGCATCGTGCAGATAATGCTGCCGGGGCTTTTTCCCGCAAGTGGCGGCCAGACGTGTAAGGCCCTGCTGCAAATGCGAAGTGATAAGTGCAGCGTGGGCGTGAGAAGATACTTCCCAAGGTACACTGGGCATCGAGGCAATGATGTGGCGTATGGCTGCAGCATTCTCTGGAGCTAAGATGTCTGCAACTCTGATTTTCCTTCGGCGGGGCCCAGTTTGCTTCGCACCCAGCTGGAAGCAGACGCGCGCATCGACCACCGTAGCTGTGTGATCCTGATTGACATGGGCAGCGTGGATTTCCGGGTCAGTCCACGATAGGATTTGTCCTTTGGCCCATGCCTCGGGCAGCAGCACATAGTCCGGGCGACAGAGTTTTCCGGACTTCTTTTGCTGGTAGGTGTGAGTCGCACCTGTATGAATGTCGGAAAAGGTACTGGGCAGCCACAACTGAAAGTCGCGGGCAAAATTTCTGACACATTCGCCCGCCTCATCTTCCTTTTCTGCCGCAAGGCCTCCGATGGCATCTGAAATCTCGGAGCCAACAGAAGCATTGAGGTCCCCTGCTACAATCAGAAAATCTTCCTTCAGAAAGTGTTTCACCAGCTTGGTGGTGTCTTTCCACCAGCTCTGTATGGCTTGGCTCTCCATGGCCCTGTGCGGCCCGTGCAGGGAAGCCAGCAGGAGATTGGTAGCTGAAGTTGTGACCCGGAGAATCAGGCGCCTCGGGTCTGAATGCAAGGATGTAATAGACGTTGCCTGAAAAGCATCCGACCTTCGATGAGACCCAGGTGTCCTATAGTAGGGATGCCCTTCTTGTAACCAGATCTCCGTGCCCCATTGGCCCCGGACGGAGCCTGACGCGTAACGCAAGAAGCCTCCGATTCGGGCGCTTCCTTCAGAGCACCTGGCTTCCTGTAAGAATGCTATGTGTATCTCCTGGCAGCGTAGTTGTTCTGCCAAGATGGCAGCTCGGCCAGGAGTGTAGGTGCGGCGGCTGGCAATGACAGGGTCGCTGCTAACATCGACATTTGAGCCGGCCAGGGATAGCGTGTTGAAAGCCGCGCAGCGCAAATGCAATCTTGTCTGCATGCTGGCCTTATCAAGCTCTGAGTGTGCATTGTTTCCTTCAGGGACACAACCGAGAGGCACAAAGGGACGGATGATCTCAGCAGGGGTGAGACCAGCATGATGCATCCCATCGCCAAGATTCGGCACATTAAGAGGCGGCATGCTGCAATCTCCTTGAAGGGCACGAAAGGCGATACCTGCCCAATGTAAGGTTTTGGTTCCCCGACCAATCCAGGCACCTAGCTCCGACACATGGACTTCCATTCCAGCTGTGGCCTGGCATTGCTTTGCCCCATGCTTGGCGAGGATGTCTGCAGCCTCATTACCTGGAAAGCCTGCATGTCCAGGAATGTAGGCACAGGTATCGGCGTGGCCTGTGTGCCGTCGCAAATGGCCAACGTTCCCAGCGGCTTCAGCAATCCCTCCTGGACTGACCTGAGATTCACCTTCGAAGGCAAGTATGGCAGTCTGGCAGTCGGAAAGGAAATGGACAGTGACATGCTGCAGGACTGCAGTGCTGATCAATCCTCCTACAGCAAGTGCGAAACACTCTGCCAGATAAGCGGACCCATCACGCATGTTGGGCTCCAGATGTTTGGGTACAGCACCCCAAGCACACTTGACATAGCCTGTGGATGGCTGAGCAAACACACAAGACCACGCAAGCTGGCTGGGTGTATCTTTTGTGGAAGGCACAAAGGACCCATCCGTATAGCACCAAACGTCATCACAGACGTGGCCAGGGGAGGAGCAAGCTGAAAGGATTTCCTTCCGGAGGCCGCGACGCATGAGAGGCACAACAGCACAGGTTGCTTCCCAAGAAAGCAAACTGACCGGGACACGCAGAAAATCTTCGAAATCCGCTGCCGAAAAGCCGAGTGGTGTACGGCCAATATACAGCCTATCTTCATGATCGACCTGGGGGTGTTGTGGCATCCTGAATCTACGACCTGGTGGAAAGAAGGGTTCCTCATTTGCACTTAGCCTGAACTGCAAGGTAAGGGTACGCGCCTGCGGCATGGCACGTCCCAAGCTCGGCGGGTTGCAAACATCCGAGCCATTGCTGAAGTGTTCATCAAGCGTATCAAGCAGAGTCGCTGCAAGAAAATATGCTTGCGAAGAGGGTTGGCGAACCGCCTCATCAAGCAGCGTGCAAAAGTCATCAGACAGCACTGAAGGCTGGGGATCACGTACATGGGCACCAATGATCTCAAGTGCAGCTGGCTGATGAGGGTGTGGACAAGTAATCTGCTCTTTGCGCGGTAAAGTCAGCGCAAAAGCTCTGCGCCCAGCTCTGACGGGTGTTGGTATGGGCTTGGGAACAGAGCCTTTGCCATCCCTCGGCAATAGGCGTGGTGCGGGCTGAGTCGAGGAAGGCCCTGGTAACGACTGGCTTCGTCCGAGACACAGCGGTGCCACAACTGGCGCAGCCGTGCTTTGGCAGACAATCACTGCGAAAACCATGGTCCGCAGGCGAAGAAACGCGAGGCAGCATGCAACGCTATGCTTGAATATGAGCGCGATGGTAACTTCAAGGGCCGTGGGTGTTGGGCGGTCTTGCGCTGCGGCAGTGTTCCGGAAGGCTGTATGCCGGCGGTCGTGGTCTCTGCGCTCGTTGTACGGTCAGGGACTGCAATGGAGCCAGGGAGGCAGGCGTGCACAGTCAGGCTCTCTGAGCATCCTGAGTGGCTGGCGACATCACCATCCGACCTTCCTTCTGGGCAGTCATCCACAAGTCTGGCGGCGGTGGGGGCGCCCGCTTCCGCGGCCTGGGGGTCTAGGCGCACTACAACCACAAGGACCTGTCCCTCCCGAATGCGCGTCCAGCGAGCCTCACATTCTACATCTCGGATCAAGGCAATCCACCCCTTGGGAAGGTCAAATGACAAATGCTCGAGGAGGTCAGCCACATCTAGCCATCCATCAGTGCTCACAAGTGGCATCCATCCTTTATAGATCCTCCTAGCATCGAGAAGGCCCACGACAGGGTGGAGCTCAAGCTGCATAGCTCCGAGGCTGAGGGCCGCAACAGCAGTGCGGCATTGCCTGCCGAAAAAGCACACATCAGTTTGGCGTTCCTCAGAAGGGACAAGCTTCAGAGAGCTGGGTGGACACTGCAGAACTGCTGCTACATCATCACGGATGAGGTGTTCCCTATGGGGCAGCAGGGCGAAAACGTGCAGCCCGTCGGCACATGCTAGGCACAACCGCTCGACAGCGCTAGCCTCAGGGAAAGCAGGCGAAAGCTCCCATGTACAATGTGAGAGCAGCATTTCGGAAAGTGTGATGCCTCGAGGTCTATGGCTGCCAGCCTCGACAACACAGATGGTGCTACCGGTTTGTAGCTCAACAACTTCATTGCTGGCAACTGGGCCGATATTATCGCAATAAACGTCAAGGCTGATATTGTATGGGAGGCCCGCTATGTCAAGAAGCACATCCCTATTGGCGCTGGGCGGGGCGGGCACTGCAAAGAGCCGCTGCTGACACGCATACGCATCCACGCACACAGTTATGCCAAGAGGCGCCCATTCAGGCGCAGCAACAAAGAGGCCCCAGCGGGTATCAGGTTGACCGGTGTAAGGACAGGAAAGTCAGCTGCTCTGACAGGGTCCCTTTTTTGCCGGATCTGGTCAGCAATTTGAGCGACGGTGGCAGGAACAAGGAAGCGTACCTCGACACACTCGATGCTGAACCCGGGGGTAATGACGCAGCAGATCGCATCAGCAACAATGTCCTCTTGGCTAAACAAGTTGTCGCTTGCGTCCTGAGGATGCAGCAGATCTCGTCTGCCGCCTGCTGAGCTCTCAAGGGGGGCCGCAGAAGCGTCAGCTTCACTTGGTGCAGGCTGCTCAGCATTCGTAAGAGGACCATCACTTTGCAGGCTTTCATGTTCCCGCTCCTTGTCGGAGGAGCAATCAGAACCATCGGAATCCTCTAGATGGGCATCATCAGGACCTTGCTGCCATCCATGCCCTGGGTCATCATCTTCTTCAAGGTAGTCGGGCACAAAGGCGACTGTGAGAGTTTGACCTTGCACAATTCGGAACACAGGGACGCCGGCTTGGTGTTCAATGGGCGCTCCTGTAACCGACACAATGTACCCAACTGGTCGACAGTATTCATAGCTGGCAAGAATATCCTGCACTGGTATAGTATCTGTGGGAAGAAGTCGCCAGACAGGCGGCAGCAGAACCTCCCGCGGATCGATAAAGAGGGCCCAAGGGCTATCACGGAGCCTAGCAGGAGGAACCGGCAGACTATGCATGGCCTCAGTTGCCGCAACCACAGCTCGGATCGGCACTCCTTGGATGGCTACTGCATTAATCCCCGGACGGGCTGTAACCAGGGTCATACGCGATTCATCATATTGCAGTCTATCTGCAAGCACCTCCCGATAGCGCCTGTGCAATCCATTGCCGAGTGTAAAAAGGGTTGGCATGCCATCGGTGAGCACATAGAAGTAATCCCCTCTGGGAGCAGGGATGGTCATCTGTGCGTCCCAATGCTCCGCACTTGCGAGCATATCCTCTAGGGGAACTCGTCTGGGAGCAGGCCGCCCGTAGGGCAAAAAGGTGATTACATCGCCCGTATCAAGATCTGTCATTTGCCATGCAGCAAGGGCCCAGGGTAAGCCTTGGACAAACACCTGCGTGTTCATATCAGCAGAGACACCAGCGAAGGCACAAAGTGATTCTCTGTTTAGCCGTGCCGGTGCGACCACACTGAAAATGGTGTCATTGACTTGGCGACAGTCCATAAGGATCAAAATTTTATCAACTGCCCATGCTGGTGCCGCAAGCAAGGTGGCAAATTCCCGGGAAGGCTGGGGCTCGGCAACAACAATTTCCGGGTAACACTCAGCCAAGGTGTCGTCTCTGCATTCGGCAATAGCCCTCAAGGCATCAGGGACACTACAGGGCACCTCAAGCGGTAGATGCAGCGCCTCAGGCACACGATGAGGCACAAAGATGACAAAGAGCATATTCGCAAGGGGCCCATCCTGACCTAGACCTGTACGACGCCTAAGAAGCTCGACGGGGTCTACTGGCAAAGCAGGGCCATCACGCAAAAGGGGGGCCTCCATTAGCTGCGCAAGCCGTGGCAGGGAACCTTCTGCTCCGCCCCCTTCGCAAGGATGGGAAACATCCCCTGGCAGATCAGGTTGCTTAGCTGTGACACCCGAGGAGGAACTATCAACAAACCACTCCCCTAGAGACGGTGTTGACCCTGCTCCGAGAGACGCTTCTGCGTTCACGTTCAAGACAAACACCGGTGTTGCTGGCCTGAGGGGCTCGATCGCCATGGCTTGCGTGGCCGTCGTCTAGGCCGCTGTCTCCTCCCTCATCTGTCTCAGGAAAATCGGCATCAGACACGTTTGTTTGCCGCAAGCGTTGACTGGCGAACAAGAGCGGCCTAACCTTGAAAACCAGAGTGGTGTTCTCACCCACTTCTATCTCATCATCAACTTGTGTGCCGCCTTCGACAGAGAGTGTGAAATCAGACGGTATGAGCACTCCATCGAGAGCGAGCAGTGATGGTATGTGAACGTTCTTGACATGTGAGAGATGATATCGAGGCTTGTGGCCTAGAGGCCTGTAGTCACAGAAAGTCCACACGTCCCTGCGACTGCACCCATCTGGGAGTTTTGAAGGCGGCGGCATGGCTGCAGTGGCAACAATCCTGTCACAGGGGCTGCCTTGTACATCCATATTGCCAAAATGGAACGAAGTGCACGTGGCAAGGGCATCTTCTTCAGTGTCAAGTAAGATGCCCACAGCCTGCAACATGGTTCGCCCGACAAAGAAGTCTTGCCTCAGGGTATATCTATTTTGCCCGGACAGGACACACAGGCATGGGGTATATAGCGAGCGCGGGATGTGCTGCAGGCGGGACCATTCCTCAGGGGCAGCAAGGAGTTCATGAATGTATCGCGCTCTGCCTGGCACAAGATGTCTGCTAAGCACAGTGATGACAGAACCATGCGAAATGTCAAAGGCAACGCCGGAGACACAAGGCACCTGCTCGCCTTCGACGTAAAATTCATATTCATCAATGTGGTGATATGACAGGGGCCGCACAAACGGAATCAAGTCGATATCGCGGACATGCGGCGCCACAATTGCCGCAAAGTAATGCCCGCCGACTCTGCTGAGATCGATGATTACCGCGACACCAGTGGAGCATTCAGAGTCTAAAATACGGGGGTATGCCAAGAACTGCGCACTTCCTAAGTGTCGTTGGGGGCGGACGGGCACAACTGTATCGAGGCATCCATCAAAGGCATCCTCCAGAATGGTCTCGACAGACTTCTGCAAATCTGCTAGGCCTCCGCCTGGCTTTAAGTGCACAGCCCAGATCTCAGTCTGATAGTGTGGCGCAAACACAGCCACACCCAGCAGGCGCCCATCAGGCCCGTTATCGTGCATTGCACAGGGATATGCCATGCGCACAGCAAGACTGCAGCCGACAGTCTGTGGTTTGAAAGCAGGCTGCGAAAGCGGTGTCGGCCAGCAGCCCGGCTCCGCGGCAGCAATGAAAGGCCCTCCCGGAAAAGGAAACCCAACGGAAGAAGTCGCTATGGGCGAGCCAAGAAAGGCGCGGGAAGAAGAAGCGCCCGTAGTATGCTCTGGCATATGTGCGGCAAGTCGTTGCAGTTGATGCACTGTCTCCTTGACTTCCTCAGGCATTGCCCAGACCTGCCGGGGAAGAGAACACCAGAAGGTAGCCATACACACAGCCCGCACGCTGCCAAACCAAACAGGGCTGTGCCGCTTCGGTACACAGGGGCGTCAACCTTTCTGTTTGGCCGGTGACCAATCAAGGCAGGGCCTAGTCACAAAGGCATATCCTAAGGCCACCAAAACCGCTGCAGCTCGAAGGTTTTTGACAAAACTGAGCCTGCGATGTCTAGCACAACAGTAGAGCATATAGAGGTGTGAAATAGTGTCACTCCAAGCAGGGTGCGATGAAACGCAACCACCGAAATGCTCAAATATAGCATGAATCGCAAGGCAGCCTCGCCTGCACGCAAGGTGAACGACGCAGCACATTGACAATTCCAACCGAAGGCCCGGGCCCCTGAGCTACCGATGCCCGTGTTTAGCGCTCTTGGCTGGAATGTCACATCATCAAGCACATCTTCAAACGGTGCCGGAAGATAGAAATGATCAGCAACGGTCAAAACTTGCTGACCTCCGCATTTGCCCGAGGAGGCAAATTGGAAAAGAGCCTCGCTCCATTTGTCAGTACTCCTGGCAATTGCATGGCCGGGGCAAGCTCCTTGAGACACATAAAGCCCAAAGTGTCGAGGAGATGCCGAGGAAGACATTGAGAGTCCCAGCGAAAGTCTTGCTGAGGAGGCGCAAGGACGGAGGACGTGGTTACTCTTGGAAGAAGGCGTGAGGACACGGCCAAAACCCAAGGGCCTACATAGAAGTGGGCGCAGTGGCAGCTCACGAAATGCAGAATCAAGGCATGTCTGTACACCGAACCGACTATGTACAAGATCAGCCTCACAATGAAGTTTCGAGATCCACTGAGAGCAGGGCCGTCGTCCACAGAAGTAGCCGAAGGGGTGTTGGGAAGAAGGAGGATTGAGCTCACGGCAACAATCCTCACAGCTTCCACAGTAGCCCGCCAGCACTCTGCTTCGAACGCCCATCTCTCTGTTTATCTGAAACTTCTCACTCAAGGAGCCTCCAGGAGATGCTACCCACACAGTTCGTCGTCGTCTAGGAAGGTCGGCTTGCTCACTAGCCTTGGCTCCTCCGAAGTACCCTGGCCCGTTGCAGTGGTCGGCAACGCGCCCTCCTCTGCACCATCGTGAATCTTGCTGTCCACTGTCGAAGTGGCACGGTCCTCTTCCAAGCTTCCCGGCCTGGTTGCACCTCCGAATTCGGGCATGAGCGCAATCCTCTTCATGTGCAACTTCTCGGCCAAACCCACATGTGGCGAAGCTTTTTCTGGCGGAGTGCGAGAGCTTTCTTTGATGCCTTTCCTCTGCATGTCTTGAGGTCCTTTCCCTTTGCCCGTCGGCAGGCAAGGAGAAGTCCTCTCCTGTGGGTGTCCAGGAACAGACTGGGCCACAGGCGCTTCTGCTATGGGTGTGCTCATAGGAGACGAAGTAGTGTAAGGATCCGACCGCACAGCTTGACTCAGCGGTGAACTCTCGGTGTATGCCGGTCCATATCCCCCAACATTCTCTGCAACCCGCACGCTCATTGCGGGTGATCTCGGCAAGGGTGGTCGGGCCGGCCTGGGAGTGCTGAAAGCTGCCCTGGACTCCCTCTCCATCATCGCTCTTCGCAAGATCTCGTCCTCCTCGAGAATCTTTTCTTGATCCCACTCTTCGATCATCTTTTCCCACTCGTCGTCTTGCGCCTCGTCGGCTTCGTCTACCTCCATCTCGCCTTTGAGGTGGTCCAGGTCGACAACTCTCTTGAAGTGCAGCCTGGCCTCGTGTTGGGCTTGATGCGCGAGCGCGATATCTCGGTCGAATCCAGCCAAGGCTTTCTGATGTCTCTCCCGCTCCTTGAGGAACGCTTGCTTGTACTCCTTCGTAGTCTTCCCACTGAAGCTCGGCGACCTCGCGGTCTCTGACAAGCTTTGAAAGCTTGCTTTCGGCCTTCTTGACCTGGTTCAAGGCTCTCTGGGTCCTCGGGGCAGTCAGCCCGTCGTCTTCTGTTGCTGCTTGCCCTTTCTCCCTGTTCGTGCCAGCCGGGGTGCCACGCGCACTGGGAGGCTTGGAGTCGTACTGTGGAAAGCTTCTGCTGTTCTCCCTTCCAGATCCCTTCTTCCAAGGGGGCTTGCTCTCTTCCCGGGGCGACCTGGCTCCACGCCAGAGGTGCCATGAAGCACCACCACCATAACCATATTGTTGCGGCTGCTGCTGCCATTTTCTGCCTCGAACCATGAGAGCTGCGAGCCTCAGACGATGTTCGCAACTCACTGCGTGGTGAGATAGCAGGGCCGAAACGGCTCTCCTGCAAGGAACCACACCCTGGGCAAGGTGCTGTCGGGTTTTCGATCGTCTGCGCCTAGCACGGCGATGCCAGTTAGGCGAGGAGGCGTGTTTTCCAATGTTGGAAGTCGCGCTTTGTAGCGCTGGGGCAAAGTCTTCCTGCTGTGCTACAGGCAATCTGAGCCCTACATACATACATACATACATACATACATACATACATACATACATGCATACATGTATACACCTGCATATATTGTATACATGCATGCCCTGGTTTCGGGTTCGTGGCGGAAGATTCCGGAATTGGATGTTAGGTGGCTACTGCGCTCTGGAGCTCCATGGCTTCCGCTCGGACGGACAACTACGTTCCAAAAAAGGGCTAGGGTTTAGGGTTTCGGGTTTAGGGTTTAGGGTTTAGGGTTTAGGGTAAAAGCCCTCGGCCGAGATGCTCCAGAGAAATTGGAACCCTCAGCCCCAAAAGCTACTTCGCGTCAGAAGCAAGGGAGCATTACATAGCCCTTTCTGATTTGGGATGTTCTGGTTTTGGGCCTGAGGGCTCTAGGCAGAAAGACAGAGCTTTCCATTATCCTACAGCAAGCTATACTTGGTTGCCTTCTCATTCGCACGTCTGGAGAATTTGACTGAGGGTCCAGGGTTTGAATTTCGCGTGGATGGGACATGTCTTGATTCGGATGTGTCGAAGTAGGGTCGGTCTTTGAGGTTTGGTTTTGAAAGGGTGCACAGGACCTGCGCAGATACACCCCGCAAAAGCCATGCAGCAAGCCGTATACGACAAGATGTGAGAAGACCACAAACCAGCCTGAACCCCCAAACCCGAAGCCTTTCAACGCCAGACCCTAAACCCATAAACCCTACACCCCTAAACCCCCAAACCCAAAGCCCCGAAACCCTAAACCCGTAAACCCTAAACCCTAAACCCCTAACCGCTAAATCCCTAAACCCTAAACCCCTAAACCCTTAAACCCTAAACCCGTAAACCCTAAACCCTAAACCCTTAAACCCTAAACCTTTGGCCCCAAAGCGGCAAGTGTCAAGCCCAGGAAAACCGTCGCAGAGAGGCACGGCCGGGCCTGCTAGTAGGTTTCAGGTCGCGCAGAAGAGTCCCGATATGATTGCACTATAAAGGTACCGCAGAGCTCTATTGAAATTGTTGGTTTCGGCCCCTCTGTATTGGTCTAGCTGCTACTTGGGGCCTGGTTTGATGAGTCTGGCATCCTGGATTCAGGTTTGGGGGTGCAGTGGGCTCTGGCCTTCCAAAAGCTCCCAGGACCTCTATCAGTGTAGGGCTCAGTCGATGGCTTTGCGGTTTAGGGTTTAGGGTTTAGGGCCGGAAGCCCCTCCAAACTCAGAAGTCTATCAGAGCCCTCACCCCAGCAGACGGACACGCAGCCGAGCTTCCTCTTTGTGCCATAAAACGCTTCTCCGTACCCTAGACAGACCCTGGACGCTGAAGTCTGTGCTGCCAGGCTCGGCAAGATTTGCGAGAACATGGAGGCTCTTCGGCCATGAAGATATACTACGATGACTTAATGAGACCTTAAACCCTAAAGTATTCGAGGCCTTAAACCCTTACCGGAAGGTTTCCTGAATCCTAAAGACTAAGTTTTGGACCAGACCCTACAGTTTTGTGGTTTACACATGGGCCGAAGTTGGTATCATGCAGGGGCCTAAATAATTACCAACACTATTTTGGGTTTCCTTGTGATATTTACAGCATATAATAGTATTCTAAACCCTAAACCCTAAACCCTAAACCCTAAACCCTAAACCCTAAACCCTCAACCCTAATTATTACTGCCCCTAACCATAAGAGTTTCTCAAGAGAAGGTGATCCGACTCCACCCGGTGCCGCAGGTGCCGTAAGCCGCAAACCTCCGGCTCTCCGACGCCCAGTTCTTATACCGACCCCCTGCATCCTTTCATTTAGGGTTTAGGGTTTAGGGTTTAGGGGTTAGGGGTTAGGGGTTTAGGGGTTTAGGGGTTCGGGTTTCGGTTTAGGGTGTAGGGTTTGGTATTAGTTTGGATCAGAAAGGCTACTCCTCGATTATCCGATAGCTCTCTAAATCAGTGATTTCTTGGTGGTATTGGCGGAGGACTTTCCGATCGTGTGTTTTTGGGCGACGAAGAGCCTCCAGCCTCCAGCCTTACAAATCGGCACTTTGTCCCGATGTAGAAATCGTACCTTCGCCCACCAGGCTTCTTAAAAGGCATGGCTGCACTTCCGAACCTCTGAAACCCATAATCGAACTCGTTGGGGAGACGAGGCTTAAGACCCGCCGAAAGCTTCGAGACTGGCTTTCGAGCAGTTGCAGCTTCACTTTAGTTCAACGGCCTCAAAAGATGGGATGAAGGTAGGTGAGATTAAGGAATGAAGCGCCGTTATGGATTATGAAGACTTTTATTTCGGATTCCCCCACCTGCCTTCCTCCCACCCTTGGCGCTCGTTTGGAGGTGGAGGAAGCATCGATCGAGCGTATCAGCCATGTCATCTTCAATAGCTGGAGTCTCGGAGGGTCTGGGGTTTGGGGTTTAGGTTTCTTTAGCGGTTTGGGGGTGCAAAGTCCAAACCGGTTTAGGCCCTAACCTCTAAACCCTAAACCCTAAACCCTAACCCTTCAAAGCAGGAAGAAACCCAAAACCAAAAGCGACGCTAGACCAAACCCTAAACAATTCAGCCTCATTCCGAAGTCTGAGACCCCAGTACCCATACTGTTGGTGATATGGGAGTTTCCGAAACTTAGGGTACCTTATTTGGGGATCCTTATAATAAGGATCCTATTATTTGGGGTACTATATTAGGGTCCCCTATTTTCAAAAACCCCCAAATAACCTAAACTATCGGAATTATGGTATATTCCTTCTTGCGGGTAATGCAGGATTATGTCATCAACCGTAGGACCCTGTGTGGTCCTGTCCGGTCGGTACTCCTCTGAGACTCTTAGCGGACCAGGGTTGGGGTTTTGGGTTTTTAGGGTTTAGGGATTAGGGTTTAGGGGTTTAGGGGTTTAGGGGTTTAGGGTTTAGGGTTTTGGGTTCAGGGTTCAGGGCTTAGGGTTTTTAGGGTTTAGGGATT